AGGGGTCAAAAACACAGTAATCAAGTTCAGTCTAAGAAAAAAAGACATCAGTTCCTTGGAACAAGAGAATCTCACCAGCATGAAGAAATCTACCTTAAGGAATAATAATAATTCCGTATTACTATTACATTCTTTCTGGGAGCCATAAATTCGTAGAGGCCATACAGCTACTGAGGCTAAGGGAGGCATGCAGGTTCGGCCTAAGCCAAGAGGCAAAGAAATTCCTTGAGAGGACTTTCCTACATTGGCAGCTTTACCTGGCCGAGCTGTCTTGCTCGGTCAGGTAAAGCTCTATCACTATTTGGAAAGAGTCCTCAGGATTTTAATCTTAATTTACTTTAAGTATCTGTTGCTTCATTACTGGTAGACATAATACTATCAGAATACCCACGATAAGTATTTAAAAATGCTGTAACACTGAATCTTTTGCAAGTGCGTAGCCTAGACTTGCTCTCAGGTGAGGGCCCACGAGAGGTCAGTGGTAAGTGGAGTTAAATGAAGAGTAGTGGGAAAGAGGAAGAACTACAGAGAAAAAAGAGCCGGGGTTACACCCAGCAGCTAGGTTTTGTTAGGTTCTTTAAGAAACAAGACGGGTGTTTACTGATACGGACTTGCACGTAAAATGACCTGCCACTGGAGCTTTTGATCAACCGACCAAGGCCTTCCACTGGCTTACCGGTCCACCCCTTTAAAAATAATGCTAGTCAAAGCTAAGCGCTAAACTCTCAAGGGTTATACAGAGCTTCAAAAATTAAAATTAGCAGCAAGAGTTGTGGCATCAGCTTATACGTTTCGCTTCTAGCAGTTCATGACAGGTCAGGTTCAAAAAGACCAGACCTGACAGGCGAGGCAGACAAAAAGGATAAGTGGGCAAGGTACTGTCGCTGTCGCTATCACGCGCGCGTGCTCTCTTCGACGGCTATGGTAGAGGCGTGGACGGGGTTACAAGACCAAGATGGTGTTAGCATAGAAAAACAATGTTTAACCCTTAAACTGTCCAAACGTAGATCTACGTTTTTTCAACATTTGAAAGCATGTAAAAAAGAGTAATTTTTTTTTTTTACATTGGAAAACTTGTAAAAAAAAACTTTGATCTACTTTTTTTTTTGTTATACTATTTGAAAATATCTAAAGAATCGTAGATCTACTTTGGGAGCACTACGCACGTGAACAGATCTGCTTGGACAGTTTAAGGGTTAAAGTTCACCATGTAGACTGCAAGAAGCATGCATTACAAATAATAAAAATTTATGATTTACTAAGAGACATTATCTAAACTTTAATAAATACTAACAATATTCGATTTTAGTTATACCAATAATATATATATATTATATATATCTATATATATATATATCTATATATATATATATATATATATAATTATATATATAAAATATATATATATATATATATATATATATATATATATATATATAATATATATATATAATATACACACACACGTATGAAGCAGGGAACAACCTTGGCCAAAACTTTCGTCACAGTATACTTCTGTTATTCATACGAGAGAGAAACAAATCTAAATTAACAGAACGTCATCGTGCCTCAGGGCAATTGAAATTAAACACTCTCCTCAATCCTATACAGAATATTAAGATATAATCTAGCACTGGTATCGAGCAATGTGTGCTGCCAGTGACAAAGTTGACTATAGGATGACACGATGTCCAAGGACAAACAATTTATACTGTTGGTATACAATGCCATTTCATACATTCTAAGTGCTTCCCATTATCCAGGCACTGTATGTTCCTTAGCGTTTTAACGCCTCCCCATAATAATACATCCATGCCAAAACCCCGCCCCCTGCGGACGCACAAGACACCTGTAAAAAAGGAAAAAAATTACGGGGCGTAAAAATTTTACGTTCCAAGCTCTTACGCAAATTAGTCATCTTGTCATTTCTTCAGGCCGTTCCAGTTTGACAATGAATTTAACTCCATGCCTATATCAAAAAATATGTTATTCGCTTAGCCGTCTGAAGGTGTTCAGCAGCAGCTCCTCTCTTACCACTCTCCTGTACCTGTGTTTGAAATATCTTTTATATAGTAAAGGCTGTCGAGCTCACTACTAGCTGTGTACAGAGGGCCAGTTTCCGAGCCTGCTATTTAGCTGTTTATGGTGTTCCAGCTATTTAACCTGCTACTCAGGGAATGAGCTCTAGATTCAGGCTTACTGCTTGTAAGTTAAGCGTTGCGCTTCTGCTGTTTGACCTCTTACACAACTCTTTCAGCTACTGAAGTTAATGTTGCTGAACCTGCAACTTAACTGTTTAAGGGAGTCTAACCCAAGCTTCTGGGTAGGGGCTGCTGTACTCTGAGTAGCTTGAGATCTGCTCATTTTTAGCCAACTACTTACCAGCTATATTTGAGGACGTTGAGCTCTAGATTATAGGTTTGCTGCTCACCTAGCAGTGTCTGATGGTTAATCATAGCCGCAAAGCCAGCTACTTCCCTGCTACACCTACACCACTTCAATCTCACTTTCTTCCCGTACCCCTCTCAACCATTACTCTCACCCCAACTACACGAACATTCACCTCAGATTACCCTCCACATCTCTACATATCTAAATAAAATTCACTCCCATACATTCCAATCATTCTATATTCTTAAAACTCACTCCAGTAGTTCCAGAATTCATTCATTATTGCATCTTCCATTTCTTTACTAACATGATGGGGGAAAATGTGTTAAGAGGTACACAAACATCCTTAAAATTTGTTTTTACAAAGCTCACTTAATATTTCAGTCTTCCGCTTAGCAAGACGTGCTAATGTTGAAAGTTTGAAGCTGACCAGATAGATAAGGCATTCTTCAGTTACCGCACAGAATCCAAAATTTAGATTTTAGTAGCAATATTAGCAAATGTGGACCTACACAGCCTGAACTTACAGAGTATAATAGTTCATCAAATGCATCACCATTATTCGTTTGAAGCCGATGTGAAGAGGCATTCCTTAGCTACTGGATGGAAATCAATAACACAGTTTACCTCATAAAATGGGGAAACAGACTTATTAAAGCCCAGTAGCAAGGAAAATTATCCGTTCAGGACGACGCCAGACGAGGCATTCTCTGGTTATCACAAAATCCAATAATGCTAGTTTTTTTCTAACTGTTTCTGTATTAGCAAATTTGTACCAACACAATAACAATTTTATACAATGCATCGGCGTTTAATGATTTAAGCCATTCAAATAATTAAGAACGAAGATCACGAGAATAAAATACCACACCATTTTAAAAATTAAACTTGCAAATTAGCACCAACCAGTAAAATTATCCCAAGTCTCTAAGTAGGATATGCAAATGTTTAAAGTATGAAACTGATCAGTAGTAGTTTCCTAAAATTATAGCAGAAACCAAATCCCGGAATGAGTAATTTAGCAATGACAGTAGAGTGCCCACACATGCAAACAACTGCATGAATCTTTTAGTTACAGTACACAAGCTTTGAAAATTTTAAGCCCATCACTTGAAGATATTCTCGAAAAGTGTAATTCAATGTCCCAAAAACTTGTGCCATATTTTTTTTTTTTAAATTTTAAAGGAAGAACTAAACTGAGAATCTCATGTCATAAACAGCGAGTTTTCAACACTTCTCAAGTTTGCCTCTAACAGGTTGATTCTACATCAGATTCTCAAGAATTCTAAATTACTATTCCATTTCAAGCAAAATTTTTACAATCTTCTCGACAACATTGGCAAATTAGCACTTGCACAGCCCAAAATTAGAACTTTTTTCAGTATGACAGAGTTTGAGGCCGATGAGAGGAAGCATTCTCCTGTTATTGCATAGAAAAGAACGTTAAATAAAATGGGCAAATTAAAACTTAAGACAGCTCAAAACGAATATTAAACTTACTTTTACTAAACCTTATCAACAGAGGCATCTCCCACTTTTGCTTTGAATCTAACGACCAAGTTTTAATGTTTAACTATGATAGTAAATTATAAAATTTGCATCTAAATTTACTTGGTACTATGTTGTATTAAGATGAATGACCCATTAATGACAAACTCTTCAAAACAGGAATATTAAAATATATTTAGCGTAAGTGGGGGGGGGGGGGAATTCTATTTTATATAAAAAAAAAGGCAAATGTGTACCTACACATTTTATCCGTCAAATTACGACACTTATTTTTTTTAGTGTTTGAAAGCCAAACAGAAGAGGCTTTTAAAAGTTATGACCCATTCCACGAAACTCTGAATGGGTTACGAAACTTTGCTCATATGGCACCTGCATGTGCCACTGATTGCATGAATCCTTCCCTCTGGTACGGTAAACCAGCACTGAAAATCTGAAGCCGATCTGATAAGGCGTTCGTTAAGTTATTAATGTTAAAAAAAAAAATCAGGTAACCATTTAAACTTAATACTTTGTGGACACCGGATTATGGGGAAGCGCTAAATCATTAAGGGCTTACAGATCCTGTGAAATACAGGGTAATCAGGTTTAATCCAAGGAAAGGGAGGGTTGCCCCAAATCTCTGGTCAAAACACTAATCCAGCATCAAGGTGCACCTAGGCTTCAGTTTCTTCAACTCCTCTACACTAAATTTTTATTCTTACGCTAAATACACAACAGGATGAAGTACACTGCTCAGATTTAGTATATTCAATTAGTATTTCAAGTTGCAATATTTACAAAGCTTTCTGTAATTGTGCGCTTCTAATTTACTTTTCCTGTTCAAGTGCTGACATTTCTGGTTATTTTGTGTCTGCATCAATTTCCAAAGGCTCAGGATAACGGGGATAAAACTTTGTAATTTAATTTAATTTATATTTAATTGGGCATAAATTAGTTAACACGTCACCAAACATTTCGTCATAGCAAGTTTTGAATAATTTAATTAGTCATTAGTTATAAAAATCAGGAAAGTTAACTTCTCCACCAGATACACTGTACCACATTACAAGGTGCACAAACTGAGAAGACAATTTTCACACCGCAAACAAAAAAAATCTTACTATTTAAGCCATAAAGTCACAGGTCAAATAGCGTCACTACTCTGGTTCCATTTATTTTCTAAGGAACATCTGGTATAGCACAGGAATAAACGATCGGAGGCAAGTCTCAATTCCCATTCGTTGGGTGCCGCACTGAGGGAGTCTTACTAGCTGCCTTGCACAGATGAAGGCACTGGCAGGTAATGGTAGTGGCACTAATGGTAGTAATAGACAATTGCTCGAGAGAAAGGGAGTGTATGTGTATGTTTTTCCCCTCAGTGTGTGTGAGGGGATTGGGTTGGCACGAGCAGCAGCAGATCACGACTGAGGGGGAGAATGCTTCACCCCCCGCCCTACTTCCTCCTCTGGCTCACGCACCTCTCCTCCAGAACTCACCAGAATGTCCTTATTTATAACCTCAATTCACCATCACCATACACGCGCACTAACTCAAACTTTCTCCCTTATAAATGACGAATGTATCACCAATTCCAAGGCAAACAGAAGGCTCTAACGAGAATTGCAGATCAAATTGATGTTGGCTTGTGGTGTACCAACCCGCGGCTGCATCATGTCCTCAATTTAGACACATTTGCGCCACCACTCTGGAATTCTCAACTTTATGGTGAAACTAATTTTTCCACCTTGAGCCACTTGGCCACAATAAACACAAACGGGTGAGCTATGTTAAATTAGAAATTGTGTTAAAAAGACTTGTGTTCCTCAAGCTGTCACAAGCAACTAAACACCGAATAACAATTCAGTTTACATATTTGTGGACTGGGGCTTCAGGCTCTGCCACAGGGTATACATACTGAAGTGTATATACTGTCTTTTGACGATTATAACTTCTTAGTTAACAGACTAGTCTACTTTAATCTTTATTAGAGAAGAAAAGTGTTCTATGTTAGTGTACATGTTAACTGCAATAGCCAACTTGCAGTCGATAGACTTCATTCCTAACAAAGTTACTTTAGGCTAAGTTACGAGAACTTTTTTCATATATAATAAGATTTAATAAAACAGCAGTGTGATGCTACCCTACTCTATATTATAGTTAAATAGGGGTAATAAAGTTTTATTTCCGTTATAAGCTTCATACAGGATGGAATTCATACATCAGGTAATTAAACGTAGCCTGACCTGACTAGGTTAGGGCATTGGCTTAAACCGGTAGGAGAATTGGTCCTGCCTCGCATGGACCAGTAGGAATGCTGAAGTGTTCCTTCTTTATGTTCTTATGAGTTAGATAACTTTAGTAAGGCAATAGCATCTTAATGTATTCCAATATAGGCTCAGTAGCTATGGTAGCTTCATAAGCTTCGTTCCAGCAAAGCTAGAGACCTGGAGTTACTATCACACATTAATTAACCTTAGGATGGATTCTCTCAGACAGATGAAATTGAATTTATACATATATTACAGACAAAAACAAATATATACCTATCAATATATACCACTGAGTGGTTTGTGTGGGGAAGTGGGGGTGAAGGGGAAGTGGGGGTGAAGGGGAAGTGGGGTTAGTATACAGTCATAACTGCTGCGGAAACCATAACGCTGATGCACACCATTACCCTAGCCCGAGGTGTTAGTCAGCTGCACTAGCCCGAGGTGTTAATCAGCTGCACTAGCACCACCTCCACACCTGTCAACTCTAACCTACTTTCAACAGTCTCAGCCCTCACCTGGCCAACATACTCGCACTTCTCTTCACTGATCAGGTATCTATATTCTGTACGGAGTTTTCACCATGTAGTTAGTCTCATGGGTGAAATAATGGAAGTCTATTATTATTATAATCAAGGGGGAGCGCGAAACTCAACGGATTATGCACTACCTGTGGAGGGGGGGGAAGGTATTCAGGCTTAATTCAGAGAACCGGAGCACAGATCCAATTCCCTAGATCAAGAGCCCCTCACCAACATCAATGAACCATCCCCGCGGGGAAGAACTATTAAAACGTCGTACACTGACAATGTTGGTGTTTTCTTTTCATGATCATTCAAGTTAGCAGGCAAATCCTGTTCATTTGTATTCATTATACCTTTAAAGTGCTTCTTAGTATGCATTACTCATCCAATATATCTTTTCCAAGCACTCTTCAGAAAGCAGATTAGAATTCTTACGTTACTGTACATTTTTATGGTTACTAAACTGCCTGCAGCAGGAGGCTGCGTACCAATTTTCCCTGTAAATCAGAGACGGACATATCAAGTCTTAATTAAAATTTCGCTCGGTGGGAGCTTTATAAAGCTCTCGCCGAACGAAACTTATATTTAATTGAGGTTTGTTCTGTGTCAGATGTATGCCACGTGTCGGCTTATTGCCTATTTTCAAACCCTTTTTTCTTTCATATAATTGTAAGACAGGATTTTTTTCAAGTTAGGTTAGGTAAGGTTTGTCAGGAAACAGGACAAGCGTGACGCAGGTCTTGTCAGATTATGACCAGCCGTTGGAGCTTTTGGTCATCTGATCGAGGCATTCAGCTGGCTTACCGGTCCACCCTTTTAAAAATTATGGTCATAATTATAACCACTTCCTTTAAGCTACGTTATTTGTACACACAACTCGCACATAGAAGAGCTTACGACGACGTTTCGGTCCGAGTCGGACCGAAACGTCGTCGTAAGCTTCTCTCTTCTATGTGCGGGTTATTTGTGTATCGTTCCAGTTACGGTATTGTGCCTTTTTTTTTATTTAGGTTATTTGTGTGTGAACACAGTACAGATGTCAAAAAAATCTTATTAACAAAAGGGAAGCTTAATGTCCGAGCACATAAATTAACACGATTAGTAGAATTTTAATGTGGAAGAGTTTAATTCAGGCCTATCCGAGAGAATTATAAAGAAGCGCTAAATCCATCAGGGTCATACAGCGCTGCCGAGAGAACAAGAGCTAATGGGGTTGCAATTAGTGAATGGGAAAATTGTGGGACAGAAACCAGGATGTATTACTGCTTAAATTTAGGACACGTGTAGTTCAGAATAAGAGTGGAATTTAAGAGGTAGTCAAGTGTGTCATGTGGTGAGGTGTTGGAAAATCCTTAAAGTGTAAATGGAAATTGTTCGGGTAACTGTGTAAACGTTATTGTGAATGGTTCAGTAGGAGAGACTGATGTAGATTGAAAAGTATCCTTGGCTATGTTCATTAAGAGATTTCGTAAGAGGACCTACGTTTTTCAGGAAAAGATTACACGATTTAAATACAATGAGCGTGGTCTGCCATCACTGACATTACCTGGCTTTGTAAGTTCTCATTATCTATCCTGATTTTCTGGCCTTTTCTGCATTTATCCTATTGGGGCCCGATAGGTCATCCCACATCATTATTCCCATGTTACACGTTACTATCGTTTTATAAAAGACAGGAAGACTGTCTTATGTATCGCTTAGTTCATTTTTTCAGTATTAAAGTAGTTGAAATCTTGTTAACTTTTTTTTTTCATTGCCCATTGAAAGACGTTAGGAAAAAAGTGTGCAACAGTACGACGCTTTCCATTTTCCCATTTCTTCTTGAATTAGGCTTCCATTAAGGTCCCTGTCAGTGCCGAGTAGCACAAGATTTTACCCTTCCAAGACCCGTGGAGTCTCACAATGTATATCTCTTCTAACCCTAATGCGAACATTAATAGTACAACATTACGCCGTAAAAAAAAAAAAAAGCCAATGTGTACTCTGGAAGAGTTCAGTTTCAGAGTACTTACTTAAACTGCCTCAACAGTTGCTGTAAAACCTAGTATGTGCTTTGACTAAATTTTATTATAATTTATATAGATAACTTAATGCTATTTGTAATTAACAAACCAGAATATCCAGAAAGAATTATTTCTTTAATAACAGCTTCCATATACAAGGAAAGAAAACTATAATTACTGGTGGGTCAGTTATAAGTGTAAAGTGCAAGCAGATTAACTTGAAGCAAATTCCTACCTCCGCTCTCTTCCTCTAACTTTGATCAAAGTGGAAGTACTTTGATAAAGACAAAGTTCAAGGAAGCAAGTCGTTCACACAGAAGGAATAAAGATTTCACACTATCATAAACGTAACAACTTGTGTAAACATTGGGTACATGTAGAGCCGAATCAGTCTCCTCCAGGAGGGACCCCTCTCACCTCTACCCCTGTACTCTCGTCAAAGGTTAGTTGATCGAGGGGCTCTTGGTCTAAGGAACTGGACCTCTACTCCAATTCCCTGATCCAGTCTGAATATTTTACATTCTCCCCAGGCTCTATATGACTTACGGGTTTACCGCTCCTCCCATGTAAATAATGCTCCTTCACCAGGGTGGCAACCCCCACCTCTACCCCTGCACCACTGTGGTATAAACAAACTAGGAATATACATTAACAGTCTGGGATAGGACAAAAGTTACATATAGTAGTCCTCAGTTGGTGCCAGATCAACCAGGCTGATCGACTTGTGGGCCAGCGGGCCGCCAGCAGCAACAGCCTGGTTGACCAGGCAAGCACCAGACGAGCCGTTACTCAACGCTCGTAGGAAAAAAAAATATCTGAACTCGAGGTATTAAGACCATCCCATCTTATAATAATAATAATAATAATAATAATAATAATAATAAATACAGGCCTAGCTGACATCAATGACCTACTATATAGAAAGCCACTTGTTATGTAGAGCATTTCGGGCAAATTAGGTCAATTTTGTCCCAGGATGCGACCACACCAGTCGACCATACCCAGGTACCCATTTTATACTGATGGGTGACAATGGACAACAGGTGTCTTTTAAGGAAACACGTCCTAATGTTTTCCAGCCGTACCTGGGATTCTATCTCAGGACCTCAGTGTGTGAGCTGAGTGCCCTAGTGATCGAGCGACAAGCATTCGTGTCGAGTTCTCGCATACGGTTTGCAGCAAAGGTTAAGTTATCCTCTATCCATACAAAGTAACCACTTATAATATACCGCAACGGAACGTATAAATACAAGATAAAGGTGATAAAATTCTGCCGCTCTGACAGAAAACGGGAAGTGCCTGTACTAGGAAGACAAATTTTCACTGTTTAATTAAGGTGCGTTCGTGTGTCTCCTGCTTGACTAGTTTTACAATAGTGAAACAGCGGCTGATAAAGAGTACTAGCTGTTATGTTAGTTTATATTTATGACCTGTGCTCCAAGGAAAGGCTTTTATAATCATGGCGGAAAGCGTTAACCCACTGGATCACTACCATCCCCATGGATGGAAGGGTCGTTCCAGCAAGAATCTTCCAGTAGAATCAAGACAGTCCGTATGCACATTGAAGGGAAGGCTACCAGTCTAAGATTAAAGTGGCACTGTCATCTTGACATGAGGTAACAGGTT